TTCCACTGTACTTGTGTGCTTCTTACCCCACCTCCTTCAGAGACCCATTGACCACACTCACTGAATTGCCCTCACTAAAATCCAAGCTCTGGTCCTGTGAAGCTGCTTCAAACAAGTTAGAGTAGGACTGCTTCCACTCCGTGGCATGAGTTCACCACAAAATTAGATGACAGCTGCAAGGGCCTAAAGTGAGATCTTAATGTCTCAAAAGAACATTGGAGGGGGGGGGGAGAGCATAGAAAAAACATGTCCCTTTGTAGATTAAGGTGCCCCCACCACCCAGGCCATAGTGATTACCAGGCAGAGGAGAACTGCCGCGGTGGGTTTCTAAGGCTGTACATCTTTAAGGGAGAGTTGAAGAGTAAAGAACATGGTGTGGTGGAAACCACTCCACCACTAGGGTTCCTTTTGTAGTTAGTGAAGACAGCAGTAACTATCTCTGGGGCATGGGACTTGGGAGACATTTACTTTCTAGTTTATGAGTTCCTATGTTATTTGATGTTTTTAAACCAAGTCAGTCTCAAATTGGGGATAATAACCATAAAGATAAACTTTTAGACGTCGATGTATATCAAGTATTAAGAGACAGTACAAGCTCACATTAAGAGGATGGTCTGGAGCTCTGCTAGCCATGGTCTTTGTGACTTGGGGAAAGTCGCTTTGCCTTCCTTGGTCCCTCCACTGTCAAATAGAAATAGTAACTTCAGAAGGCGGCTTCACTGCCCCTTCACGCTACCATGATGTCCTTCTCCAGGGACTGGTCTCTCTAGTACATGTCCAAAGTACATCAAATGAAATCTCAACGTCCTTGCCTCAAAAGAGCATTCTGACTACACTATATTCATCCGAGACAGAGATGTTTGTTATATTGGCAGTCCGTGGTATTTTCAATATTTTTCACCACCACATAACTCAAATGCATCAATTCTTCTTCAGTCTTTCTTGTTCAATGTCCAACTTTCACATGTGTATGAGGCAATTGAAAATACCATGGATTGGGTCAGGTGCACCTCAGTCCTCAAAATAGCATCCTTGCTGTTCAACACTTTAAAGAGGGCATGTGCAACTGATTTACACAATGTGTCTTTTGATCTTTTGGTGCTTCCATAAACATTGGTTGTGGATGCAAGCAAGATGAAATCCTTGAAAACTTCAATCTTTTCTCCACTAATCAAGATGTGACCTATTGATCAAGTTGTGAGGATTTTATTTTCTTCACATTGAGTTGTAATCCATCCTGAAGGCTACCATCCTTGATCTTCATCAGCAAGTGCTTCAAGTCCTCCTCACTTTCAGCAAGCAAGGTTGTGCCATCTGCATACTGCAGGTTGTTAATAAACCTTCCTCCGATCCTGATTCCACATTCCTCTTCATATAATCCAACTTCTCTAATTATCTTCTCATAATATACATTGAATGAATTGTAAACGGATACAACCCTGATGTACACCTTTCCTGATTTTAAGCCATGCATTAGTCCCCTTTTCTGTCAGCCCAACTGCCTCTTGATCCATGTATAAGTTCTGAATGAGCAAAATTAAATGTTCTGAAATTGACATTTTTTTCTTCAAGGCTATCCATAGTTTATTATCCCCAGAGTCAAATACCTTGGCATAGTCAATAGAACAGAACTAAATATCGTTCTGGTATTCTCTACTTCCAGCCAAGACTCATCTGACATCAGCAGTGATATCCCTTGTTCCATGTTCCCTTCTGAATCAGGTCTGAACCTCTGTCAGCTGTTAATGGACTGCTGCAACCATTGTTGGATGATCTTTGACGAAAGATTACATGAATGTGGTGTCTGATATTTTTCTATAGTTTAAGTATTCCGTTGGCTCACCTTTCTTTGGAATGGGCAAAAATATGGATCTTTTCCAGTCAATTGGACAAGTAACTGTCTTCCAAACTTCCTGGCATAGATTAGTGAGTTCCTGAATAATTCGTCAGATTTTTGAAACATTTCAGTTGGTATTCCCACAATTCCTGAAATCTATCATGTTGTTGGCGAATCCTTTCAGTGCCACTTGGACTTCTTCCTTCAGCCCCATTGACTCTTGCTTATAGGCTACTTCTTGAACTGGTGGCATGTTAACTACTACTTTTTGGTACAGTGACTCTGTATGTTCTTTCTGACATCTTTTGATGCTTCCTGTATCGTTCAATATTTTGCCCACAGGATTTTCTAATATTGCAACTTGAAGCTTGCATTTTCCCCTTGAGTTCTTTCAGTTTAAGATTGGCTGAGTGTGTTCTTCCTTTTTTATTTTCTCACTCTAGGTCTTTGCATATTTAATAACATTTTACTTTGCCTTCTCAAGTCAGGCCAGCCTCGGTTTGAATGCAAACTCTACCATTTCCTATGAGACATTAGACAAGTTACTCTCAGGCTCAGTTTTTTCATCTACCAAATGGGAGTCAGATTACATTCTATAATATGGAAGTGTTTACATGTAAGATTATTCACATAAAGCATTTAGCATAGTACTGGTATAGAGAGTCAGGCTCAAGAAATCTTAGCTGTTTCTGCAACTCTCGCTAGTCATCCAAACTTAGTGAAATAATGAAAACCCAGAGCATCCCTGACACACATCTCTGGGACAGTGCAATGTTGAGAACTTACTTTGATAGAACTTTGATGGATCTTAAGCTGAAGAAGCCAACAGAAGGAGCAAGGGAAACATCTCTCGTTATTGGCATGGAAAGTGCCTCAATGCCCATTCCTTCTTTCCTGGCCTACTGCCCTCATGGTCCTGGGGACATCATGGAAATATAGCCTCTTCTGGGCTGGCGGGGTTGCAGAGGGAAAGCCAAAGAGAAGTGGAGTGGCATGGGGATTGGGAGTGATGATCTGTGGGAAGCGAATCGGTGGTATTGAGCAGGTTCTGGGTCAGCCGAACCACACTTGGCAAGGCCTTGGTGATAAAACTCTGCTCCACCTACTATACTGTTTCTAGGCAGCTGGATGACTGGGCTTTCGCTATGCTTTATGAGTAAATTCCCAACACCCTCTGCCAAATGAGAGGAGAAACGATTTGGCCCAGCTTTCCTATGGAAGGAAACTTGGTGGCACAGCAGGTCAAGTGGTGGACTGCTGAAAGGTTGAAAGGTTGGCAGCCGAACTTGCCAGCTGCCCCTGCAGTCGTTGGTGTGGATGGGTGGGAAGCGCAGAGTGGCGCCAGCAGTTGGGCACCAAGTGGCATCTGCTTTTCTCTATCAGGACGGCCAGTGCCGTTGGTTGAGGCAGATACAGAGGTGTTTTTGTTGTTGTTAGATGCCATCGAGTTGGTTCCGATGCACAACAAGCCTCTGGACCACAGAACAAAACGCTGCCCGCGCCCCACCATCCTCACAGCTGTTCTCATGTTGGGCCCATCGAGGGGTTTGGATGTTGCCTCTCTGGTTTCTAATATCCATGTTACACAGAACACACAGACAACATTCTGATTGAAGGGTTTCCTAGGGACGTTAACAAGTTTTCCTGTCAGGACATGTTGCAAACTTCGTTCAAGTCTGCTAAAAATATGCCCCCAAAGGGCTTACCACGCCATGCTGTAAACCTCCACCCGAAGGCATTCGTGTCCAGCTCTTCAGTCACAAATCCAGCTCTCAGAATTAAGTTCCCAGAAGCATCTCATTTCAGTAAGCACCAACCCGCAGGCACTCAGCTCTACTTCCACAGGGCAGCACTCCCAGTTTCCCGAATCATGTGCCCCGAGGGACCCACTCCACAGGCCAGCCTCCTGCACAAAAGCTCTCAGCCCTGCTTGCTCCATTAGTTGGGAAGTCCACAACGGCTCCATGCTCGGGCTCTTGGTTCTGCTGCTGCTCCTCCGATGGTACAGCTGTCTTCTGGATCCAGGAGGTTTGCTGCAGAAGCATCTTTGGTCCAGAGGATGCACTCCAGTCCTGGCTCTGGTGATGAGATGCCTCCTTCTGCTTCTCAGAGGGCTCATTTCATACACAGCAGAATGGCATTCCAGGGAATCTTGTTCACAATTACTTAAAGGTGAATCTTATAAGTATTCCCCCTACCTTCTCACCAGACCGAAGCAGGAGAAGGTCATTTGGTGGGAGTTAGAGACTTAGGCTAGCAAAGCCTATTAAAAAAATGCACTGCCCCTCCATGCATTCTTGCAGCAACTGTGTCAGTCCATCTCCCCAAGGGCCTTCCTCTTCTTCACTGCCCCTCTACCAAGCATCAGGCCCTTCTCCAGGGCCTACTCGCTCCTCGGACTTACGTCTCACCACCCTTGCCTCTAAGGAGCATCCGGCTGTATGTCTTCGGAGACAGATCTGTTTGTTCTTTGGGCACTCCATCCTCGCCAGCCCCATCATTCAAGTGCAGCGATTCCTCTTCAGTCTTCCGTACTCACCTGCTTGGACCTCCCTTGTGGGGAGCAGAGGCCCCGAAGCCACATAGCCAGCGACAGGGGATGCTGTCTTGAACAGAGCCCCAAGGAGCTGGAAAACCAACCGCCCTCTTCCAGGCCCACCAAAATGGACAGGCGTGTCTAGCATGGACTAGAGCAAAAAGAGCACACCTATTTCCTCCCGTGGGGGCAGTGGGTGGGTTAGGGGGCTTGTCTGCCATGCCGTACGGGTGGTGAGCTGGCTGAACTTCCGCCACGTAGTTGGGGGTCCCAGCACAGTGAAAAGGGCATCACACTCTTGCTCAGTCTTGGCACTTGGTTGGGGAATCCCAGCTCTACTCTGAAAACAGCTCTCTAGCCTAAGTCACTTAACCCCCCTTTGGGGCCTGTTGGTCCTCCATCACTCACCCCATCAACAAGCCTCGGGGGAGCCCCTCCTACATGGCTGCTATGCTACAGAGAGAGGAGCTGCAGGTGGGAATGAAGGTAAATCACTTGGTCACCAACCTCAAGAGAACAGCGAGCTAGTCGTGGAACCAGGCCCACGCTGCAGGCTCTGTGAGGGGTCTCAGGGTGAGGGGCGCCGGGACGATGCGTGGAGGCTGACACCTGAACTGTTTCTCGAAGGACAAGTCACAACAGCTCATCGAGGTGGAAGAGAGAAGGCCCTGCCAGGAGGAGGAGTCCTATATGCAGAGGCACAGAGGCCTGACGGAGCACAGTCTGGGGAAGCAGGGTAAGGTCTTCATACATCTGTACCGGAAGAGAACTGGTTCCCGGGGATGCCCCCTGGTTTACCGAGAGAGAGAGAGAGAGAGAGAGAGAGAGATTGAGAGAGGGCAGCTCTGGGAAAAGCCAATCTGGGTCAAATCAAGCTGGAATTAACAGGGCTTTTCAGATGCTAAACTGCACGCTGACGCTTCTGGAGGAGGGTGTTTGCAGGCTTTCTGTATGGCCAGGGAGCCCAGTCTCACAGAGCCTCCACATAAGCAGGGTGTCCAGACACACGCTTGCTTTTGAGCCCTGGAATGGGGTGTTTGGGTAGAAGGGGAGAAGGTTGAGGGGGAGGGTAGAACCGAGGGCAGTAGGGATGGAAGCTCTGGGGTGAGCCCTGTGCCCCAGCTCCTAGAGAGCTGCCAGTGGAATCCTGGGCTGTGTGAAATACACTTTACACCCAGGTCTGGCCTCTCTTGACTCCGCACCCATTTGACTCTGGTGTTGCAGAATGAAGGGGCAGGGGCAGCAGTGACTGGCTTACTAGCTGCCAGCACTTCGCAAGATTTCCAGAGCATCTCTCACTGGTCGCCTCAAGGAAGATGCTGATGGGACAAGGGAGGGGTTTTCTTTTGGAAATCTTCAAATTCGCTAATTTTGAAGGCGGCGTCCTTCTATGGTTTAGAGTCTACAAAGCCTCTTTCTGATTCTTAGGGGTCAGTGAATTCACTTTGTAACTGCCCCCACCTTTCCTGTGGGCTTGCTGAGAACAAAGCAGGTATTAAAAAGCACCCCAGGGTATTTGTACCCACCTGACTTCTTTGGGGGGATGGTCAGTAGTGTAAATTTTGGTGAAGTCAACCATACATGGCCTTTTCCTCAAAGTCGGGATGAAGGGTTGGTGTTGTGTCAGGCAAAGCACGTGGCCCCTGCTGGAACAGAGAGGGTCAGCCCAAACCAAACCCACTGCGTTGATTCAGTGCCCACTCACGGCAACCCTGTGGCCGCGTAGAACTGACCCTGTGGGTTCCTGAGACTGAGCCCCTACTATGCCACCAGGTCTCCGAGGGGCCTGAGCGTACAAGAATAGGTTTGCAGTTTGTAGAGAATTTGGGTCCCACATCAGAGCATAATAAAGTCTTTATCAACAATGACGACCTTCCCAAAGAACTGTGTCACTGATCCTCAGAACAAGACTTCAGCAGAACCCTGGGAACTAACTCTTCATGAGTCAGGGTGGGTAGAGCCCTAAGGTTGTAGTGGTGACCTGCTGGGCTGTTCGAAACCACCAGCAACTCCAAGGGAGAAAGACTTGGCTTTCTACTCCTGTCAATCATTCCGTTTCAGAAACCCACGAAGGGGAGGGTGATCACCAAGAGTCAGCATCTCCTCCATGTCAGAGAGAGAGAGCGCACTCTAAGTCTAGAGAGAGACAGGATGGCTTCCTCATCTGTTGAATCCCTCTCTTAACGTCTCTCTGAGAAGAAATGAGATTGTCTCCAGTGCTTAGCAGAGGTCCTGGCCCTGTTTATAAACAAACATAGCACAAAAACCCAAACTCACTCACAGGAGTAGCTTTTGACCCGCAGTGACCTTGCGGGTAGTAGCCCTGTGCCTCGGCCATTACAGCACCAGGTTCCTTCCTCGGGCCCCACTGTGATCATGTACTGAAGTAGAGCTGTGCTTATTTTATTGACACCTGTGCTCTGACTTTGTGACCTTCTAGTTACATGAAGCAAAAGGAGAGCGGGGCTGGTAACTGTGGAAAGCTCCCACCAAGCTAGTGTGGAGACATCTTTAAAAGTGAGCCGCCAGAAACATGATAGCATCATAGATTCAAGAGCCGGGCGCAATCACTGAAATCTGAAGAAGATACAGTATAGAGCAAGACGAGGCTTTCTACTCCTGAAGAAAGTTACAGTTCTCAAAACCCACAGGGCGTTTCTGCTCTGACCTATAGGGTCTCTAAGCCACTCTTGGGCACTGAGCTCAGGTTTCCTTATGGCCTGAGTTCAGCCAAGGGGATCCTGCCACCTTGTGGTGGGAGCGTGGAATGTCCGAGGCCACCTTGTTGCCATCCCTAGCTGAGTTAGCCTGAGATCTTGGCCAAGCCTTGGGGCTTTATGAGATTCCTGGGCACTTGACTTAATCGGTGCCTATTTTCTCTCAGAATTTTGCATGTCCATTTCTAGTGGAAAGGCTCTTTAGATAAATACGGGTTTGGGACATCGTCACTTTTGCTGTTTGAGGTACAAACAAGAAGTAACTGAAGCACCCGTTAACGGAAGTTGTATGTGTGGACCACATTCTCTCTTAAGAGCAACCCAACCAGAGTCTGAGAAGCTTAATGGTGGGAAATGGGGCAGACAGACCCACTTTTTTCACTGACAGGGCCTTTGGGCTCTACGTCATCAAAACTCATTGCATCGAGTCGATTCTGACTATGACCCACTAGAGCAGGGTTGAACTGCCCCCGGGGGCTTCCGAGGCTGTCCCTTTGCGGGTGCAGAAAGCCCTGCCTCTCTCCCACCACGAGAAGAGGTCACCTGGAAGCCATGGACTGCGTCGAAGGCTCCGAGTGAAGACAGTTATTCCACTGAGACAAAAGCACAGCACCCTGAATGGAGGTGTCGGATCAAATGGGACCTTCACTGCTCTTTCTTAGAGCACAAACCCCCAGTCCTGGCCCCTTTTGGGGGGTCTCTCAGGGGTCAGCATTTGGGGAGCATGGTCGGTAATAGGGGAAAGAGTCCACTGCTTCTGGCTGAGCTCGGCCCAGATAAAACCCTACCATTGCTCACAGAAACCCCCAAACCCAAGCCAGCTGCCCTGGAATCAAATAAAGTACCGTGGTTTGGTGATACGGGACAGGATGGGTCGCTCATGGGGAAAATGCAGGCACAACAACAAAAATCACTCAAGTGGATTTCTCCTTTCCCCTAGGCTTTCTGCTATCGGTACAGAAGATACTATACAAGACAGTCAACAATAAAGCCATCCTGGTTGAGAATAAACACTCTGGATCACAAAGTGTATTTTATCAACAGTTCTAGCAGAAGAGCAGTTTTTAACCAAGGACTCTAAGTCTGACAGGGAAAACGCCCATGAGCCGGAAGAGACCAGGAGCCTGGCCTAGGGGGGAAGGATTGCTTGCTTTGAGTGGCAGTTCCTGGATGCCATGACTTTCCATTTCTCTTTTTCTACCTCTAATCTCATTCTTTTCAGCTTGGGTTTGTTGCTGTTGTTGCTGAATTCTGCGTTGCTTAAGCAGTTTATTGTCAACATCTTAATACACTATTTAGGACATGTTTTTGCTCACAACCTGTGTGAGATCACGGAAAGATAGCTCTCTGATGAAATGTGTGCCCCATCTGCTCTACTGAAGTTAGAGGGACTCTTGTCAATGGAGAAACTAGGAACGAGATTGTTTACATCAGTTGTTCAGCGCCAGCCTGGTAATTATAAATCAAACTTCCAGATTGTCGGCGATTACTGTGATGGGTAATATTGTGTGTCAACCTGACTAGGCTTCCCCGTGGCTTGGCAGAGATTGGACTAACTGCTCTGTTCTTCCACAATGCAATGTAATGGTTCTACATTTGGTGAGCTGGTGGGAGCAATCAATCAGTTGGAAACCAATCTATTTCCTTGGAGGGAACCAAGATATAGAAGTTCTAGAGAACACACGCCCACTATCTTTTCCATCTAACCATCATCCTCTGACATCTGGTTCTTGGGCATGTGAGCCAGCAGCCTGCTGTTGGACCTGTAATGAAGGGAGTAAGGAGAAGCCTCCAGCCTGACTGGGGTTCACAGATTTAGGACTTGCCAGCATCATTTCTCTGAAATGTTTCTCTCTATATTCATAGCTCTTTCTAGATTAGGAGCTGCTATTCTTACCCTAGGATATGATGAATTGACTAAAGTGTTCTCAGAAGAGTTGCTTCCACTTCCCTAGAATGTTAATAGGTTGAATGACGTCTCACCCCATACCCCCAGTACGTGCTGTGAATCCTAACCTCTATACCTGCGAAGATTATCATCTCAATTGAGAATAGGTTGTGTTTTTTATGTTAATGATCCAGTATTAGTAGTGGGTGTGTCGTGAACATCTCTTGAGATCTGAATGTGGTGAAACAGTGGGTAGAGCCAAGATGGGTAAGTTCAATGCCAAGCTACGTGGAGATCTCCAAGGAACCAGGAAAGAAGCTGCAGACACAAGAACGTCCCAGCAGAGCCGGTGAAGAAAGCCTTTTCCTAGAGCGGGCAACTGGATTGGGGTTTTCAGCTTTCTAGACTGTGAGAAAAAGTGAATTCATTTGTTAGAGCCAATCACTCGTGAAGGAGCCCTGATGGGGTAGTGGTTACAAGCTGGGCTGTGTGCGATCCGCATGGTAGGCAGTTCAAAGCCACCAGCTGGGCTTTCCACTCCCTTCAATAGTTAGTCTCGGGTGTCAATAGGACCAGGTATCAAAGAACAAAAAA